TCTAGAGAGTAAAATGCTAAGTGAAAAAAGTCATACAGAGAAGACAAATACCATATGATTTTAGCCCTATGTAGAATTTAAGAAACAAAACAAATGAACCAAGAAAAAAAGAGACAAAACAGCAGACTCTTAAATACAGAGAATAAACTGGTGGTTGCCAGAGGGCAAGTGGGTAAGGGAATGGATGAGGTGGGTGAAGGGGATTAAGAGTACACTTATCATGATGAGCACGGATTAATGTATAGAATTGTTGAATCATTATATCATGCACCTGAAACTAATATAACACTGTATGTTAATCATACTTCAATAAAAATAATAAAATTAGCCTACTTAGATTTCTGGTTTTGGAAATGACAACCTAACTTCTTGAGAAAAACATATGAGGAAGAAGAAAAAAAGATAAAAACTGCCTGGAGGGGGAGACGAACCGTGAGAGACTATGGACTCTGAGAAACAAACTGAGGGTTCTAGAGGGGAGGCGGGTGGGGGGATGGGTTAGCCTGGTGATGGGTATTAAAGAGAGCACGTACTGAATGGAGCACTGGGTGTTATATGCAAACAATGAATCATGGAACACTACATCAAAAACTATGATGTAATGTATGGTGATTAACATAACATAATAAGAAAAAAACTACCTGTTTTAAAGTATGAGAAAACTAGTGAGGCAGCCAAACTGCAGGAGAAAAGAATCCCAAAAGAACATGAAGTGGTGAGACCTGAATTTGGCAAGGTGTTTCCCCGTAAGATATTTGCAGATTTTGAAAGCAGCATCTAAGAGATTTTAGAGCTGAGCAGAGGTTCCAGCAGCATAATGAGGCTTGAGAAACAAAAACTGGATTTTTGGGTCTGATACAGAGAAAAAGCTCTATGAATGCCCAAAAATTTCAGTAAAACATTAAGAAGAACTAGGTACTAAGAGTAAAAATTAACTGGAAATTGATCAGCCCTCTCAGAGATTGAATCCCAGCTTTGAATCACCTGCCTGAATTAAGGTCTTTATGCCTTAGACATAACAACTGTGATGCAAAAGGATAAAGGGAGATGTAATTACTGTCTCAGAATGAGAGGGAATATAGAATGAATGGCAGAAATATAGGAAATGAAAATAGCAGAAAATTTCTAAAATATTGAAAGGCATCCAAAGATTCAAGAAATGCTACAAACTCCAAAGCAAATACATAGAACATCACACCTAAACACATTATGGTGAAATTAGTGAAAATCAAATGCAAAGAAAAAAAATAACACACAACAGTTATTTAAATAGGTTTTAATGATACGTTGTTTTAAAAAGTTGGAATCATGGGAGCCTGAGTGGCTCAGTCAGTTAAGCGTCTGCCTTCAGCTCAGGTCATGATCCCAGAGTTCCCGGATTGAGCCCCATATCAGGCTTCCTGCTCAGTGGGTAGTGTGCTTCTCCCTCTGCCCCTCACCCCCCTTGTGCTCTCCCTCATTCACGTGCTTTCTCTCTCTCTAAAATAAATAAACAAAATCTTTAAAAAAATAAAAAGTTGGAATCATGAAAGGGAATAAAAAGAAAGAGACATTGAGATAGCACAGAGGAAGTAACAACAAGAATCAGCTACCTCCACCAGAGATGGGGTGAAAAGGGGCAGAAGAGATTGGGGTTATTAAAATATGTTTGGAAAACTCTATTTCTGGAACTCAAAAATCACCAGACCCTCCCATCACAGGTGTCATGTCATCTTAAATCACAGAATAAGAAGTATACAGTACACAATTAGAATGTCAATCTTTCTTTGGCAGAAGCAACCAGCTTCCCCCACACAAGAGAAAGGATCAGATGACCCTTGGCCCCAGTTATCGCCCCCTTTAAAAAAATACAAAACTCATAATAATGGTGGACACTCAATAGACCTAGTGTGAATGCAGATATTCCTCCTTTTCCTGCCTGTAAATACACTATTACATATATATTTCTGTTTCAGGTTATATGGGCATAACCCAGGTGTCATAGAAAACAGAATGTCATTATAAAGTTCTGATAAAGTTATTGTTAGGCTTCTAAGCAAACTAGAAAATACAAATTCATCCTCACAGATAGACCCTTAATCTAAACATCAGCCATTTATAGCCTTCCTAATCCAATTAATGAATTAGTAAATAAAATGTTGAAGGTAATAACAATTCTCAAAAAAAAAAAAAGCATTGAAGGAAAAAAAGCTTTTCCAACAGTGGGTTATGGAGGACACAAAGGAACATTAATAGTTTTGTCCTTTCCAACAGACAAACAGACCTGGGTTTCAATCCCTTTTAAAGATGGCCATAACAGATACCTAGGGTGGAATAGTTCTTAAAGCCCACAAAGCCCCAAATCCAATCCCAACACCCAGTTGCCATGAATGATCCCAAGACTCAAAGATGAGAAAATGGAAGCATGTCTTAGATATGTCTGATGACCTTCCCTAAAGGCCTCAGGTCTGAGTAGCTTGCCAATGAACCTTGGGACCTCAGTCTAAATCCCCAAGCAAACATACACATTAAAATCTGCAAAGATTAGGTCATTAGGGATTCCCAATATCAGATCATGGTATACAGAATAAAACTTCAGTGCATAATTGTGTTCAATATCTAGACATCCAGGCATAAATTATTTTATCCCATGCAACATAAAAATTTAAATGTGGCTGGGTCACAAGATTAATATAGATTAATATATATATATACATATATATATATACACATATATATATAAATATATATATACACACACACACCATTAACATATCCTTTCTATGGCACCTTTGCAAGCACTGCCTTAAAACACTTCTCAATGTTCACATATTTTTTTCAAAGCTAGAAATGAATGGATGAAAAAAGTAAGAAAAAAGTTAAAACCTGGAGATAAAGAAGACTCAGATGAGAAAGTAGAACCTATGTAATATATGTGAGTAAATTTTTTATTAGACAGAGATTCATATAGAGTGAAAACTGCCCAGTTACAACAGTCACCAGAACTCTAACAAGGAGGAAACAACTTAATGAGGATGAACTACGCAGGTTCAGAGAAAACAAACGAACACTGAGGCAATGCTAAGTCCAAATGGTGTAATCATTGGACAAACATGTATGATGAAAGTGGAGAAAAAAAGTGAAGCTTCTGGAGAATAGAAACAAACTCTAACAAAGTACCCTATGTTGTTTTGACCACAAGTAGAGAAACTGAGCCTGTCATATTTGGGAAATTACATTCCTCAGGAAGTAAAACTATAGCTAAAACCTATACCTTGCAAATGGATAATGATGTGTGGAGTTAATGATAATGATGTGTGGAGTTAAGTAACTTTTGATCATTCTACAATGAAACTAGCAAACAAACAAGTAAGTAGCTGTGCAGAAGACCTCACAAACTCACCATCAGAGTACATAAATAAGCATGCTGTTACACAAATTTGAGTTACTCCAGTTAGAGAGACAGAACCATGGTATGGCTTTGATTGACTTGGGGAGGTCAATACAAACATTAATTTTAATTTTTAATTAATAAGAAGATTAATAAGAAAAGTCCGTCTTTGTTCTGAGTACTGAGAGTACTCTAAACAAGATGAAGCCATGTCATACCTCTGGAACCCACAAAAGAAGAGCCATCCAGGATAAGATTATATATGTAGCCAAGCAAGACAGTTTTTACCACCCTTGGTAGGAAAAATCACAAAAAGGAGAACCATCTTCAGAAATAAAAGACTGAGAGGATAAAGTTATTCCACTTTTTAAACCTATTTGGGATGACTTACTAGGCCGCTAGCAAGGGTGTGAGGAAGAGGTCACTCTCAGGCACGTGCCCAAAGCCACACAGGTGAGAAGCAGGTGAGCCTAACCTGGACAATGATAGTTCATGGTGTACATCAGCAAAACAGTTTTTTTATATTATCACCTGTAGGCACCTAGAAGCAAATGAATGTACATGGAAAGACTTTGGGTAACCAAAATATACTTGCAGCTATCGAACACTTCAGTGAAAATAAGGATTATAATGGGGTGGGTGTTTGCTTCTACACATTTCAGAGAACTTGAGAAAGAAAATGATGCGTTCAGGGCTTTAAATTCCCAGATCAAATTTTGGATAGGGAACCAAATCCCATCTGTGAGTTCTCTAAAAAATAGAGTACTTATATCATTATCTTTTGCAGTCATGAGGCTGAGATTTCTGAAAAGTAAAACTAAAGTATAATTTCGTGGAGTGCTGAAGGATGATGCAAATTTATTTTCCAACCTCATGGGTTGTTAAAGTTAGAACAATAATTAGGGAAGAGATTAAACAATGAAAATTTAGATAGGGATGTACAGGAGGATCAGGGTGAAGCTAGACTCCTTGAAATCCTAAATTCTGCTGTTCTCCCTTGGCTATTAGTAGCAGCCTTTAAACTCATGTCTGAGCAGATCAGGATCCTATAGCATGAAAAACCTGTAATGGTCTTACCTGAGTTGCCTTGCAAGGGACTACTGACCTGCTAAGGACCTACCTATATCATTATCATTGCTTTTCCTTTTTATTTTTTTCCTACTTTATTAAGATACAATTGACATAATATATGTATGTTTAAGGTGTACAATGTGTTGATTAGATATACTTATATACAGTAATCCCCTTTTATCTGTGGTTTCACTTTCCACGTTTTAGTTACCTGTGGTCAACTGCATTCTGGAAGCAGATTATCCTTTTTTTGACAAATCATCAAAAGGCCAATAGTAGCCTAACGCTATGTCACAATGCCTATGTCATTCACCTCACTTCATCTTATCATGTAGGCACTTCATTTCACATCATCACAAGAAGAAGGATGCGTACAGTACAATAAGATATGTCTATGCTTTCACACTGTAAGAAGAAAAAAAGAGAGTATTAACAATTGAATACAATTACTTTACACCAGTGACTTTCTAAATCTAAGAATAGTCAATCATATGTTTGTCTGTTGTCTCAACAAGAGAAAGCAATGCAATGTTCCTCTTGCAACCTAGACCCCTTCGTTTTTTTTGAAACAAATTTATTCTCAGAATAATGCACAAAAGTAGAGGTTGAGGCTACCTTTGGGAGGCTTCCCCCGCCACTCCTCCCCCTCCTCTCTGGCTGCCAGTGAGAACAAAGCTGAAGGAATCATGCAATAACAAACAATGATCAACTCTAAAGACAAAAAGGTTTGGTCCAAGAGAACTCGACATAATTAATCCAATTACTGTGAAGAGCTTCACTGAGTAGGATTAAGATCTTGCAGATGTAGTGTTTCCACAGGGTTGCTCTTCAGTGCACCAAGGGGGCCTGCTTGAGGGAGATGAGGACAGAGCGCATGCGGGAGACGTCTTTGGCCTGCTTGCTGGACTTGGGGTTAAAGTCACACAGCCGGGCCACCCATTCCCACTCAGTGCCTGGGGACAACTCGTCTATGTCGTTTACAAAGGCTTCTTCGGCTGCCCTGTTGTTTGCTTTTGTTTTCTGTAGCTGCTCGTCCTGCCTCGCATACCACTCTTCTAGCTCCTTTATTGCTTTTTCTTTCCACTCTGCTTCTTGCTTCCGAGAACTGGCATCAAGGGCTTCCAAGGGTTCTGTTTGCTCTTCTCTCCATTTACGGATACTTTCAGGCTCTGACTGCAATCGACCCACTTGTGCAATAGCTGCGTAACTGTCTGTTGGACCATTACTCTCCAGGTAGTACTTGCCATTCATCACTCCATCCACGGCATCCGGACCCCCCGGCGGCTTGCCGTGCGGCTGGGGCCCGGGGGCACCGCCATCCAGGTTGGTGAAGGCCTCGTCGTTCTCGATGCCCGCAATCTCACTCTCTTGCTGCGCCAAGAAGGCCGCGGCCGGGTCTTCTTCACCGGCACTGACCACCCGGTTCCCTAGCGCGGGGCCGCTGGGAGCGCCGGCAGGAGGGCGGAACGGATCTAGTTCAGCCATAGCCGGCAGTTCAACGGCACCGACACCAACGTTGAGCGACACTCCAACTGACCCACCAACACCACATCATTTGATGTCTTCAATCATCTGATCACACCAACCTCATCTCCCACTTGCCAAACACCAAAAATTTGGGGGTTTTTTTGGTGGAGGGTGGGAGAAGAACTTTTTGGTATATAAATAAGTCTTTCCACCTTAAAAGCCTTTGCTCTTTTCATAAACCATAATCTCTTAACCTCCCAGGCCTTTTGTGCATATCTGTTAAAGGAGAAAGAAAAGAGGGAAATAAAAGAATAGATGAGATATAAGTTAAATTAACAATTCTGTGATAACCAAAATCTTACTTTAATTTTTCTTTTCACTGTCACATGAAACACAAAAACTTAAAACTGAGTGAATACTTAGGAATTAATCTTTAACTGTAGTCCTACTTGAGATTCATTTTTAAAGATTTATTTATTTATTTGAGAGAGGGAGAGAGAGAGAGAGCAAGTGGGGGGAGGACCAGACGGAGGGGGGAGAGGGAAAGAATCCCAGGCAGACTCCCTGCTGAGCATGGAGCCCTATGCGGGGCTCGATCTCACAACCCTGAGATCATGACCTGAGTTGAAATCAAGAGTTGGATGCTCAATTGACTGAACCACCAAGGCACCCCTTGAAATTCATTTTTTACAATTTTTTTAGGTAGCCACATTCTCCAAGGCATTGTCTCCTAGTTAGTACATGAGACTGCAATTAAGTGGTCACCAATGATGAAGGCCCATTTAGTGTATGTTTCAGTCACTTTAGCTACTTGTTCTAGTAACTGCATTCTAAACAAATATGATATCAACTACCAGGTCTGAAATTTCCCACCTGTAGAAGTCTTAGAGTTTCAGCTCAAAGAGTAGTATACTTGTGAAAGAAATACGTTTCAGGAAGTCTTGCTTTCTATATGATTTAGTATATGTGTAAATTGTTAACAATAAAAGTGGTTTATAAAAGTAAATATAAATATTTTTTAATTAGGGCGCCTGGGTGGCTCAGTTGGTTAAGCGACTGCCTTCGGCTCAGGTCATGATCCTGGAGTCCCAGGATCGAGTCCCACATCGGGCTTCCTGCTCAGCAGGGAGTCTGCTTCTCCCTCTGACCCTCTTCCCTCTCGTGCTCTCTATCTCTCATTCTCTCTCTCTCAAATAAATAAATAAAATCTTTAAAAATATATATTTTTTAATTATTAGGTTTACTGAGAAAAATGTAAGAATATAGCATGTGTATGACAGGAATGGTTGGATGATACTCAACATGGATTCTCCCAGGCTGTACCCTACTGAATCTGGGTCTTTTTCAGGTCTTTCTCGTTTCCATTTTTATCCTTTCTTTTCTCCTCCTCACTTTCACCTATCAGTAATGCATGTCAGGAATGGATGGATGATACACAAAGCTACACACAGATACCTGGGTTCTCAGGAACCGCTCTCTTCTGGGTCCAGATCTTTTTCAGGCCCTTTTTCAGGTTCTTCATTTCTGATCACTTCTAGTTTCTTTTCCTCACCTCCAGCTTCTCATCAGAGCTTTCATACTTATATTCACTGGTTTCATTAGTGAAGAATAATACAGAATTTGGGACCAGAACTTCACAGAAAAAATAACCCAATCTATAATCAGTGGCGACATCGAATATTCTGCCCTCAGGAGAATCAGGAGGATAGAAGTAGGTGAAGAAAGAATAGCTGGGCATCTTCCTAGTGGTGGATACGATGCTTCTGCAGCCCTCACGTTTCTGCAGCTTGCTCTTTTTCATGGTGACATGTTTCCCCTCTTTCCAGTAGATCTCACACCCTGTGCTGCTGATAATTTCTGGCCCTTTGGAGAAGAAGGGATCAGAATCATCTGGGTCTGGTCGCATTTGGTATGTTTTTGTCAGGAATTCATTGAAAAAATATTCGTTTGACTTGAAGATAAATTCTATGGTGAAGCTTATTGGTTCTTTGAACGCTGAAAATTTATTTTTTACATCTTTCAAGTGCTCTAGTACAAGTTCATCATTTTTTTGGATCATCCTCCCAAGGATCTTCACATTTTTAAAAGCCATCAACCAAAAGTGAGGTATGCCATTTGTTTGCCCTTTTCCCGCAGGCTCTCTTTCCATTTCCCCCCACGAACCTTCCTGGACACCTACTTGCCACTGACATTCACCTTCTGTGGGCTCATGGATTGCATTGACGATCTCAGATCTCTTATCAAACAAAGGTTGGTAGAAGGAGGCATACTTTTTCTCTAGATTGTGAAAATCTCTGTAGAATTGAGCTTCTACTTGTGCATATTAGACCTGGAGGTTTTTGAGAGCTTTGACCCACAGCTTAACCACTAAAGGCAAGTGCTGAGCACCGCCTGCCTTTGAGCTGGGTGCCCCAACAGGGGATGCAAGGGCCTGAGAACACTGCTGCCACTTGTTAGTTTCAGTCTCTCTGGCTGCACAGGCCCCCATGTCATAGAATACCTCTGAACTGGGGACTTGCTCTCCTGGACCTTGGCATCCTCTGGTTCTCTGCCTTCTAGCATGTAGCCCCTAGGCAGTTTCCTTGGACACTTGGGTGCAGTTTCCTTCTGTCAGGTACTCACCCTCCCAGTTCTCTACTCCCTCTTCTAGGTCTTTGGCCTCAGGAGGTTCTGGTCCCTCTCCTGGATCCTCTGGTTCCCAGGTACCATGCTTTACCAACATGTGACCTGCATGGGGTTGAACCAAGAGGTGGTCATTATAGTGTATAAGTTGTAGAATGCAACAGATGAGATCCTGAAAGAAGGACCAAAACTGTGCTGTGGGGAACTCATTGGTCCCTATAAGGATGACTTTGGCACCCTCTTCCTGTACCTCTTTGTGGTGGTATTCTCTTTCATCTTCATCTTCCTTCTCCTCACCATCATAGTTCTGTTCCTCTTCCTCTTCCATTTCCTCATTGTCCTCCTCTTGACCCCCCCCCCCCCGCTGACTGGACATCCCTGTCCTCAACTATGGGCTGGGAGGCCTCCTACCCAGTCTTTTCTTCCTGAAGTGTTCTTGCAACTTCCTGGGAAGCCAGGCTTCCATAGCCTCCAAAATTCCATCTGACCCCTCTGCAGGAACCAGATAACTCGAGTAGTCAGGGATCATGATCTGCCTCACTATCAGCTCTGTCTTGGCCACCTTGTGCTGGGTCTTGTTCTTCTGTGGCAGACATGGCAATAGGGGTGCTCCAGTCTGTGTTTGGGCCTGAGTGCTGATCTGGTTGCTGTGATGACTATGGTGAAGTTGGCAACTACCAAGGTGACTGCTTCCTAGGGGAAGTTATTGACAGAGGGGCCTGCCTGGAGGCAGTGGGGGCAACAAAGAAGATGGATGCAGAGGGCACAACAGTCTTTAAAGGTGTGGAAGCTCTACCACAGAAAGGGCAGGAGGGCTGCTGGAGGAAGGGCCAACCAAGACTGCACCTGAGATGGCATTGGAGAAGGTGGGAAATATCAGGGGGGTAGATGAAAGGAGGCAGAGCTTGGAAGGGCCAACAAAGGCCCCCTTTGTCTCTGCAAGCTCTAAGTTCATTTGCTGGGAAGTGAGGATTGGCATGCCTGGGGTCCAGTGAGTGATCAAGGCCCTTTAGTTGTAGTTTCAAAACTCCATCTTTGAGACCTTAGAGGTCTGAGTTATTTTTTAGGCCCATACAAGTCCCATCCATTTAATTCCACTATTTTCAGCAAACTATAGAGTTCCAATACGACTGTCCTCTGCAGCCCAAGAACTGTGATCCCTTCTCCCAATTTCCATCTAGGGACAACTCATGTCAGTAGAGACAGAATCATAAAAAAAACTGTATAGTTCAGCAGTGATAAAAATCTCCAAGAAGAGAGAGAGAAAAAAATCCTGGACATACTAACATTATTAAAGCTGCTTAATAAAGAGCATATAAAGTTAAAATGAATTCAGTCAGAACAGGGTTGAAAAAATATTTTCAAAAAAGGAGCAGGAAAGTGTTTAATAAATGCTGCTGTTTCACATCAAGTTTCTACAATATTAATACAGAAAAGAGGACACTTAATTACAGACAACCATGAAAGACATTAAAAAGGCACCTTGCTAAGATAATCTGAGTAAACTAAGACTTTCTGTTGCATTCAGACACACTAACAAAGAAATCAAGTGCAAAGAACCTTTACAATGATGAATAAATCAAGAACCTTTTCATATTTATTCAGAAAAGCAAAATGTTGGGGTGCTTGATGGCTTAGTCAATTGAGCGACCGACTCCTGGTTTTGGCTCAGGTCATGATCTCACGGTGGTGAAATAGAGCCCTGCGTTGGGCTCCAGATTCAGCACAGAGTCTGTTTGTCCCTCTGCTCCTCCCCCCACTCTCTCAATAAATAAATTAAATAAATAAATAAATACATACAAACATGCATACATACATACATACCTTTAAAAAAAGAAAGGCAAAATATTATATAACTCCGAATAATATTTTTGAAAAGAAAACTTAGCAAATGAACTAAGAAACATCACATTTTAGAAAATAACACTGAGAAATCCTTTTTTATCACTCCAACACACTTTCAGTGTATTTAATTTTGTCTCTGGTCCCACTTTAAGAAGGGAGCATGGCAATATCAAAAAACACTGATTTAAATTTGGAAGGGAATGTAGTAAAGTAACTAACAAGAAAAAAGGAAAAATCAATGGCACAGTGCACCTAATTGACTTGCCGAAGGTCACACAAATTAGTGACAGAGTCAAGTATCTAATCAAGATTTCCTGATGTCTATTTTGCATTTAAGACAGGATTGCTTATTTTCTATCCAGCTTGGGGAGAAACATGACACTTGAAGGTTAATTAACCATCCACAGAGAAAGTCAATGGCCTTAATTGGAAGAATCTGAAAGGACCAGACCAAGCTGTCACAAGCATGCCCCTTCCACCATTGATTGAAAACATTTTCAGGGACTGAGAAAGAAATTCCATAGTCCCAGGAAAAAATAGGCTCAAAATGTGGCTTGGAGAAAAGGGTAAATATGACGTGGATCCATAACTAAAGTATCCTTACATGTAATAT